GATTCTGGACAAAAGTATTTTCTGAGATCTCATTGATAACCAGACAAACATTTCACTTCTCCCCTTGTCTGGCTCCTTAGATTTTGATTCCGATCAAGGCTTGAATGACAAGGAACTGTCAGCAGCAGCAGCTTGGGCCACAATTGTCAGGTTCTGGAATACTTCTTGTCTCAGTAACCCAGATTATAGGATTTGGCAGATCACCCTTCTTTAAAACAGTATTTCTCTCTATATATGCATTACTTACCTGTAACTCAGCACTGGAACATCTGTTTTGCACGCAGAAGGGCCAAGTTGAAATTTGTGGCATCAGGTAGGGCTGGGAAATGCTCTGGTCTGGAATCTTGGAGAGCCTCCATTGGTTAGTGTGTGCCAAGGATGGACAATGTAGTGCCTTCCATAATCTTGGACCATTGGCCATGTTGGATGTGGCTAATGTTGCAGCTCCAAAGTATTTGCATGGCACCAAGTTGGCTGTCCCTGGTGTAAACAAAAGTGAGGTAGATGGGCCAACGGTCTGGCTCAAAGTGAGGCAGCTTCCAATATTCCTATGTAAATAAATAAATGACACAACACATCAGAATCACTGTCACTCAGAGAGCCCATTTAGCTTCAGTTCCTAATTGCTTATTTGGCTACAAAGGACAAACAGTTCTCTTTGTGTGTATATGTTGGGCACCATGGGATGATTTCACAGGCATATAGGAGGGTGATGAGCATTTCTGGCAATTCCCTCCGCATTCCCAGAGGGACTCATACAATGAGGTATTGCAGGAAAGACCCTGTGGCTCTGTCTAACATCAAAAAATATTAACCAATGCAGGTGAGCTGGGTAGGTTTTGTTTTAAAAGAGTGATCCCAGCATGCACAGAGCTTGTTTTTGTTACACTCAGCCAATGCAGCTCAGAACTCCCAAGGTGCTTTTCTACAGATTCAGAACTGGCGTGGGTGCTCTTATTCATGACAATGACATTTTTATTTTAGCTTATGAAACTCTGCAACACACCATGTTTACTTAATAATTGCTTTGCACTGTTTTAGAGAAAGCGATCTTAGTCGGGCTCTGGTTGACATCCAGGCCAGGCTTCCATTGACAGGATGCTGTCATATTCCCTTTCTGAAACAGATCGGTTTTCAGCCATAAGCGTTCTAGCTGGATTTGTGTTCCTTTCCCTTTGGTCTATCTTATCCATAGTTTGTTGTTGTTTAGTCGTGTCCGACTCTTCATGACCCCATGGACCAGAGCACGCCAGGCACTCCTGTCTTCTACTGCCTCCCGCAGTTTGGTCAAACTCATGTTTGTAGCTTCGAGAACACTGTCAAACCATCTCGTCCTCTGTCGTCCTCTTCTCTTTGTGCCCTCCATCTTTCCCAACATCAGGGTCTTTTCCAGGGAGTCTTCTCTTCTCATGAGGTGGCCAAAATATTGGAGCTTCAGCTTCAGGATCTCTCCTTCCAGTGAGCACTCAGGGCTGATTTCATTAAGAATGGATAGGTTTGATCTTCTTGCAGTCCTCCAGCACCATAATTCAAAAGCATCAATACTTCGGCGATCAGCCTTTTTTATGGTCCAGCTCTCACTTCCATACATCACAACTGGGAAAACCAGTATCCACAGTTACCTAAGCCAATCTGCCTGTGATGACTTCTTGCCTTTTGGATGGGCTTCTTGCTTACCATTGGAAGCTGGATGAATCCTGCAAAGTGTGATATCACTTAGATATTTCATGCCTCACCTAAGTTGTGTGTGTCTCTGTGTGTAGCATATTATTTTACCTTTTTAGACTATGTCTTAAAGGGACACACCAGCCTTCCCTGACCACCAGTTTTGTGTTTCTTAAAGGGCCAACCAATAGGATGGTGGGGACCCACATACAGGAATGCATAGTTCATATCTGATTTGGCATAAGTGTGCCACATTGTCATGCACTCATCAGAGGGAATGCAGGCAATCATAGCTAGGGCAGTATTTCCAGGTGATTATCACTCCTGGAAATCAGGTGACACGAGAAATCCAATCTTTATACCATCGTCTGCTCTAAGACCTCTTCTTGTCTTCTTGTCTTGGCAACTTGTTACTGCTGGAAGCCTACAGGCTCTCTCCCTCCAGACTGCCTGTCTGCTTGTCTGTTCCAGGTACTTAACAGCATTTGTATCTGAGCACCTGACAGACATGCATATTTAACATGGTCAGTTCCCTTGTCATTTTCTGTACCTTAGACATAAGGACAATAAAAGAACAGGCATTCCCAATTAGTCGGATCCAACACCACCTTCACGTCCCCCATTTTATAGTTTGTCCCAGGATCAGTCAGAGGTGCAGACTGTTCTAATGCCATGATCTCCCTTAGCTGAACGAACTTGAAAGCAGGAAGTTTGAAGACGTTTACCCAGAACTGAATTCATTAACAATGTGGGTGAAATGAAGGACGGGGACACATGAATTAAGAAGCACAATTTTAAAGAAGTTCAAAGCAGAATGTAAAGGGGAACCTCTGAGGTCATAAATCCAGTGTGATGGAAAATAGAATCCCAACCTTCAGTGCAGTGTTCTGAATTAGATATTGTAACTAAGAAGGGGGGGGGGGAGTCCTTAGCTAAGTGTCAGGTTAGAGGGTTCTGACCTTTCTGAGCCACCTGCCCATGCTGCTGCTGGAGAAGGAGGGGGAGCATCAATTCACATTGCAATTCCCTGATATACAGCTGAAAGTCCGAGTGGAACCCACAAATATGAGCTTAACTGGCAATTAAGTGCATTACTGGATAAAATGCTGCATATTATGTTCCTACAGCAGAGGAGAGGAGGTGGGCCAGGCATGCTTTCTGTGGGAAGGTGAACTACAGGGGACTGAAAGCATTCGCACACGTTGTGATAATTACTGTTCTTGGGCATTGATTAGAGATCAATGAAGAAAGGACTGGGAACAATGCTATGTGAGCCCCACAGAAATGAATGGAAGCACAGAAGTGCTCTTGCCCTCCTTCCACTCATGGCAAGGAGGCTTTTGCTGATTGTCCCTGTAGATTACATATCTAAGCAGACTTATGTGTAAGTAAGTCATGTTAAAATGAATGGTAATTACTTCTACAGGAACAGGTTTAAAATGGGATGTCAGGACAGATTGTTTCTCAGCTACAGTGTCTAATTTAGAAAACTACACTGAATCATAGATTTGTGGAGTTGGAAGGAACATGAAGGACCATCTCTCTTCCAACCCCCTGTAATGCAGGAATCTCAACTAGACCAGACATGACAGATGACCATTCAACCTCTACTTACAAACCTCCAAGGACCTCCCAAACCTCCACCACCTCCCAAAGGAGAGCAGTCCACTGTCAGCTCTTACTATCAGAAAGTTATTTCTGATGTTTAGTCAGAATCTCCTTTCCAGTAACTTGAAGCCATTGATTTATGTTCTAGCCTCTGGTGCAGGAGAAAATAAGCTTGCTCCCTCTTCCAGGTGACGGATGTTTCCTCTGTCTCCTCTTTTCCAGGCTAAACATACCCAACTCCCTCAACCATTCCTCATAAAGCTTGGTTTCCAGACCCGTGATCATCTTGGTTGCCCTCCTCTGCACACGTCAACATCTTTCTTAAATTGAGGTGCCTAGAACTGGCCACAGTACTGCAAGTGTGGTCTGACCAAAGCTGCATGGGGTGCTATTTCCCATCTTATCTTTTCCATTTGGGAGAATATGCAACTGAATGCAATGTAACAGCATGTGTGATACCATATGTGAAGCACCAGTAGGGCCACAGCTCAGTGATAGAGCACATGCTTTGCATACCAAAGGTTCAGTCCCAGGTAAGGCTAGAAAGCTCCCCTATCTGCTACCCTGTAATGCTACTGTCTGTCTAGTGTAGACCAGACATGGTGAACTTGCATTCCTCTATGTGTTGCTCCCATAATTCCTGGCCATGCTGACTGGTGATGATCTTGGAGTCCAACCCCTCCTGGTGTGTGCGCGCACACATATATTCTGCATTCTAGGTGTGGACAATATTGGGCTGGATGTAATTAGCACTGAAATCCAAAGTCAGTGTTGGATTTTAAGGAGCAGATGCAAAGGGTTTCATACTTCTAGGGCAACACCTGAAGAGGAATCTGTTCATTTTCACCACAAGGAAATGTATGGCATATGCAACTACAACCTCCTCCAAACTCCACATTCCGACCCTCTCTTTTCTTCCCATTTGAACTTCCCTCCCTTTCTCATATCTCCCCTTTCACACCCTCCACAGCTACTCTTTGCCATTCTCACCTCTTCCCCCCCTTCCCTTTTCTTCATTCCTCCTCTCCCGCCCTCGCAAGACCCCTTTTGAAAAGCGCAACACTTCTTAGAAGCGAGAGATGCCAAAGTCTGAATCTTCTGGGAAGCCCTTCCTTAACTCCCGGAAGTGTGTGAGGGCTAGAGGTAGTAGACAGGGGAAATGCACTCTGCATGTGCTCAGAGGCCCCTCAAAACCCTGGCCACTTCTTCCTCGAGCTCAGATCCCTTCTGCCCTGCTCTTTCTCTTACTCCTTTGGCTCTTCTTTCTCTGGCTTCATCCGCCTCTCTCGCCCACCTCCCGTCTTCGCGTTGCTTCCATCTCCCCCCGAGTCGTCCTCCATCCTTTGCTCTTGGATTCTCCTCTCCCTTCGCCGCTCCCCACCCCCGCGTCTCTTTGATCTTATCTTCCCTCGCCCATCGCACTCCTCTTTTCTCTGCGGCGCGCCCCGTCCGGTTTGCTAGAGGAGAGAAGTTGGAGGGCACCCGCGCCGTCCAGTCAATTGCAGCAAGGGCTGCGTGCGGCTCTGCCTCCTCCTCTTCCTTGTCCCGGGCTCCCTGCAACCTCAGCAGCAGCAGCAGCAGCAGCAGCGAGAACAGCCGCCGCGGGGGGGCGTGGTCAGGCGGGAGGGGCTGCGAAGGGGCGGAGCTCCCGGCAGCGCCACAGAACGAAGTGGAGCCCCAACCGGCTCAGGACTGAGGCGCCGCTGCTGCGACCGCTGCCGCTGCTCTCAGCCTCCATCCAGAGCCGGGGCACTGATGGGCATCCCTCGCCCCCCTGCCCCAGGCGCCGCGGATCTGAACCCCCAGCCGGGATCCCGCTGCCGCTGCCGCTCGCCTTCGCCGGTGGAATCGTACTGTAAGATGTAGAATGCTCCCGGTGCCGAGAGCCAAGCGGCAGCAGCCTCTCCTGTGGCCCGGGAATGCGGAGCCCCCAGCGCCTCCCTGGATTTGGATGGTCCCGAGCGCGGCGGGGCTCTTTCGGGTCGGGGGCGCCGCTGGGGTGGTGCCCCCTCCACTACTGCTCTCTTCCCCGCCGCCGCCGCCGCCTCCTCCGCCGCCTGCGCCGCTGATCCAGGGGGTTTCGGGCTGGCAACTTCCCTGCGATCCTTTCCTGCCTTTGATGGCACCGGAGCATCATTCCGCGGTTCATCAGCTTCCCTTTCTGAACGGGCAGGTAAGGAAGGAACCTTTGCCTTTTTGCCTGTCTCCCTTCACCACCATCTGCCTCCCTCCCCCCGCCTTCTTTATTCGTGCTTCTTTTTCTGGTTGCTTTGACGGAGGGTCCTGTTGGAAGCGCACTTCGCTTTTCCTCACTCCCATCGCGCCGGTTCTTTTCCGTGGTGGGTTCAAAAGCGCCCAGGAGAATGCGAAAGGGGACATTGGGAAACTCGTTATGAGCCTTGGGAAACGCGTAAGCTGGCAGTGAAAGAGGTGGGAAGCAACTTCTGTCGCTGTCCGACGCGCCGTGGTGCTGAAGTTCGCCCGTAAATTTCCTTGCTGTTGCAGACGTGTGTCTGCGCCTTGCTGTTGAACCGCACTGTGTTTCCACCAGACTTTAAAGACAAGACGAGAGGGAAAGAGAGGGAGAGAGACCACATTAACTATTAATACGAAGCTATTGCTAATGCTGAGCTCGTTCCTTTTCACTCTCAAACCACACGGACTGCACATTTCTGAGCTTCATACGTTTATAAAATAACACCCAAAATAGTGTGCCTTCTTTACAAGACTGCAGTCCTCTGACATTTAGGGCTCATTTTTTGCTCGTTGTTTTTTTTAGTAATGTCGCTCTCACGATTGCACTGGAACGACACTGCCATAAGGTCTATGCCCTGCTACTCCCCTAATACTCATTCCTGTTGATACCCTAATAAATCCATAAATAACAGGGCCGTGTATTTTACAGCAGTCAATCAGAATGTAGAATTGTTTACTATGGAAAACTCGATAAAAAGAATGGAGTTACATGAGCCTATTGCAGATGCATCCTAGTCGCAAACTGGGCAGTGATTTGAAGGCTGGATTTGAGCATTTCTTTTCCATTGCAAATCATCTTCCATACAGTCTGGATCATTGCATAAAGCTCATCTAAATAAAAACTACAGAAAGCTTATTCTAATATTGCAAGCAATGTTTCCTAACCATCTTAAACCAAAGTTATCACACTCTTTTAAAAATACCAGCATATTGGACCAGCTGGTGTATTCATTCAATGCACTATTCTGTTTTTACAATATTTGTGCCTGCTTCAGAAGGCTTTCTCAAGATGTAGAATAGGACTGATTTAAGAGAGGATGTGTTGCAACGCCCCCCCCCCGTTGCTATGCCAGGATGCTACCACTAGAGGTATTTAATGTCTAAGAACTTGTGTTTCCCTTCATGTTTAGAAATCTGCAAAATATTTATTTTAATAAAAGAAGAAAGTGGGTGGCTGCACATGAATCTGCTCATTAGGACTAACCCTCTCACCATCACTTTGAGTTTACTGTGACAGCATCAGCTGGACATATAAAGAAAATGGTAACATAAGCAATTGCATTCAGTGTCTTCTGCTCTGATGTTCTTTGATGTTATATGGCAGGCATTAGCTGTTCTTGATCACATATTAATTCAAGCAATAAATCTCATCATCACTGCTGGTTATACACACACACACACACACACACACATGTGGATTGTAAGGCACATTTGAAAGTAGTGGTGGATGGTCAGCTTAGAGATTAGCCTTAAGTATTTTTTAATACATGCATTAGATTTCATTGACTATGTTAATTATGGAATTAGTTATGTGTGGTGTTTAATGCCTCTGACATAAATTTGATGCTGTTTCACTTAGATGTTTGAACTCCAAATTCTTTGGATAAATTTCAGTTTCCTAATAAAATGTCTAAGCTAGAAAGCTGTACTGGCACTTGATGGTTGCATGTAGGAACAGAGCATAGTGGTGAGTGAAAGACACACTCCAGGACCGAATGAAAATTTATGAACTTGGAGAACCATGGAATTGGATTGAAAGCAGTAACATTCCTCTAGCTTGGATATACCAAAGGCCCTGTAGTTGCCTTTGATTTGCTATTGCCTGTGTAAAATCTGAATGATCACTAATTTTAGTGAGATTTTCTTTTAATGTAACAGTTAAATTATGCTGTTTGTCATCCACCTGGCTATGGTTTTAAAACATTTGCCTGATGTTCAACAGCCTTGTCATATGAGCCACTGCTTATAAAAACAGAAGTTTAGGATGTGAAACAACCACTGCTGTACCTGGGCAGGGACATGACTTGTAGCATCATTCTAGCACTGAGAACTGTCTCAAGACACCACACCAGTGCCGTGCTGTGGTTTGTCATGGCTATATTCACAACAGCCAATACCATCAGATGTACTGCAGCATCAAGCAAAGGTGTTGTGCAGCACAGAATGGGGTGGAAATAGGCTATGGAAGAGAGGTCTGCTTGAGGAGTGAATTGGGATGACTCATCTATGAGTAGGATTCCTGCTAGATTGCATCTAAAACAGAATTCAGGGGGAAATGCAGTACTCCATTGAGATAGATTTCCTGAAATCATAGGCAGACATACTCATATCTACATAGCTTTAGTCAGATTCCAGCTGGTCTCCACTAATTCTTTACCCTTGCCATATTTAATATTAGATGTGTACTAGGATCACAGTCACTCTTCACCATGGTATTGTAGTTCTGAGTTGCTGCATAAGCCTTTAGTAGTAGTAATTTATAGCTGAACTCAGTAAATTTTGAATTGTTTCCCCACCCCAGTGATTTTTTTTCATGTTTTGGAGAAAGCAAAAGGATACATAAGAGTCATATAATGTGTGCTCAAAAATACATATGAAATAGAAATGAAAACATGAATAATTAACAAACAAAAGCTGTATGGACTAATATGTTAGAGTGTATTCTTACCTTTTAAAAACTTTATTTTAGTGGATGTTTGGAGCCCATTCTCCAGTGATTGGATTTTCACCTTCTTCAAGTGTGGAGTTTGTCCCTCTTTTTCCTCAAGTATACACAACTGCTGCTCCACACCATTCTGGGAAAAGTTGGGTAGAAAAGAGGCTTCCAAATTGCAAGGTAAGTTAAAATTTGCCTCCTTCTTCACTTAACAGGCATTGAGATTTTGGAGGTAGAATTACATTACTGTACCAATATATGGGGTACAATTCATTCATTTTAAATATTGATCTCAGTATTAAACTTCCAAATTGGCTTACAAATTTTGCAATTAAATATATGAATAATAGTGAATTAATAATGCTGTTTCTAACCATCCTGAATCTCAACCCACAACTATATTTTCCTCCCTGAACCACAAAACTGACCAGAACCTGAGTCATTATTTAAAAGTTTCTGATGAACCTCAACTGGAAGACTCTTGAAATAAAATGAATTTGTCAAGCGCCATTGTTGGTCATACTTAGAGCCATTGAAAACAGTGGACAAGTAGTAAGTCTGTTGATTTCAGTTGATATACTCTGAGTTTGACTTAGTTTGTGATGACCCAACAGAGCCAGGTTACCTGTTCATAATAAGGCCCTATGTGGAAATGGTTCAGTTTGTTTGTGTATCATTAATGTTTCATTTATTGTTAATGGGAACTTTAGCTATGCTGTAGTTATGTATCTTTTTTCATGCTGCAAGCTACCTTGAGCACTGTTTGAACTTTGGAAAGGTGGTATACAAATAAAATGTATGAATATGTATGCATACATGTAAATGAGGACACTTGATGTGGTTCACTCACTGACTCACCAGCAGCAGAATGAGCACATAAACCCTCCCTGATGTTAGTTTTATTTTATACATTTTGGAGTGCATCCTGGCTTCTGCACCCCACCCAATTCAAGAGAGCTGGGTCTAGAGACCATCAGCAGGGGTTGGACTGGAGGTATTCTTCAAGCTTCAGACAGAAACCACTGATGAAAAGCATCCTGTTGCAGGGAAGAAAAGAGGATAGGGTCCCATTGTGTTCATTGCCTCCCCAATGTTCCAGTGTTGAGCCAGGTAAAGGTAAAGGTAAAGGTAAAGGGACCCCTGATCATTAGGTCCAGTCATGACCGACTCTGGGGTTGCGGTGTTCATCTCACTTCATTGGCCAAGGGAGACGGCGTACAGCTTCTGGGTCATGTGGCCAACATGACTAAGCCGCTTCTGGCGAACCAGAGCAGCGCACGGAAATGCCGTTTACCTTCCCACTGGAGTGGTACCTATTTATCTACTTGCACTTTGACGTGCTTTTGAACTGCTAGGTTGGCAGGAGCTGGGACCGAGCAACGGGAGCTCACCCCACCGCGGGGATTCGAACCACCGACCTTCTGATCAGCAAGTCCTAGGCTCTGTGGTTTAAACCACAGTGTCACCCAGTGTTGAGCCAGACTGGGGACTAAAGATTCTAAGCTGGGTGTGATGGCCTGGGATTCCGATTCAGAGGCTGAACCGGAGGAATCCCAGCCTGCACAGGAGTCCCCGCCTCCAGGGCCGGCTGAACTGGGGCAGGGCCTTGATTCTGAAGCGCCTGCACCTGTGCCGGATCCTCAGGAGCAGGCACCAGGTGAATCCACTCTGGCTCCGGAGGTGGTTGAGGACTCAGTGCCTACAGGTGAGTCTCCCCCTGGGTCCAGTAACCCTTCAGCCTCCCCTGAACTGCAGAGGCTCAGGGAAGAGAGGCGAAGGGAACTGGTTTCTCCCAGGAGGAGTGCTCGCCTTAAGGCCAGGAGAAGCGGGTCTCCTGGGGCCGGGACCGCCCCTGGCCTCAGAGAAGATAAAGGCCAGTCAGCCCGGTCCCAGGTTGCGGGAGCAACGTCGTCGTTGAGTACCTGCTCCTACCCGGACCCAGACCTGACCTTCCAGTGTTCCTGTCCCTGCCCGGCTTCCTGCTTCGGACCTCGCCTCGCTCCTTGTGAACTGTTTCCAGGCTAGTGACTCAGGACTGGACTTTGACTACGACAACGGTAACCTTCCCCCCGGGACTAGCACAGTTTGCTCCCGCCACACCCACACTCCCTCTTCGTTGGGGTGCGTTCGGGAAAAGCCAGAAGCCATGGCCGACCAGGCAGCTGCGCTGGTGGCATTGGCCCAGGAGAACCAGGCCTTGACTCACACCGTGCAGCAGCTCAGCGATGCGGTTACGGCACTTCAGCAGC